GCTCCCTCCCCCCCCCCCCCCCCCCCCTTAATAAGGTGTTTGCACTGGTTTCTTGAGAAGAAAATCAAAGAAAAATCAGTATGACAAATGATGCAACATGAGCAATTGGTTCCATGGTATTTTATGCTTAAAATGGTGCCAAAAGAGTGCTTCAGAATGATGCTAGAAAGACTATGGGACAACAGTACAACCCACTTCAAAAGAAGAAAAGATCGATATATACTTATTATGGATAAAATGGACATGCAATGGAAAAGTGTTACAAACTTCATGGCTATCCACCGGGATATAAGCCTAAACAAAAATCTGGAATGAACATATAAGCTGTTCCCAGTAATAAAGTTAGCCGTGCAATGGTCAATCAAATCGCTGAACCTGCTGTTGTTATAGATCAGAAACAAGGTAATGATGGAAATGTTTATGGCTTTATGCAGACACTTAACCCTGCACAATAACAACATTTGATGAACATGCAAAATAACCATCTCAAAGCTGGAAAAATGGATCTAGAAATTAGTGCCAATTTAGGTAAGGCATCAGGTGCACGCTTCTCAATTTCTATTAATCCAGCCTTCAATTTATCCAGATATTGGATGGTGGCTTCTGGTTCCACAAGTCATAAATGCTCTAATCAGTCAGCACTTTGCACTTTGCTGCCTATTGAGAATGCATATGTTACACTACCAAATCACATACAAGTTCCTATAAGGCCGATTGGAAATGTGAAAATCTGGTCTAACCTGATGCCTAATGATGTTCTATATGTTTCCCAGTTCAAATTCAACTTGCTATCAATAAGTGCATTAATAAGGAATTCATCATGATGAGTCAAGTTCCTCACTAATTCTTGCATGGTTCAGGATTTTACCACATCGAGGATGATTAGCAGGGGTAAAAGAAAGGTTGATCTTTATGTTATTGATTCCAATCCATCAGTTCACAATATTGTTGTGAATTTTCATGCTCAGTATGAATAGTCAAACCGGCACTATAGACTTGGGCATTTATCATTTCTGAAATTAAATATGTTGAAGAAACAGCTACACATTGATTATATTAAGCATGATACCTTAGCTCCTTGTTCTGTTTATCCTTTGGCAAAGCAAAGGAGGCTTTCATTTGTATCGAAAAATCATTTGTCAAACAATGCATTTAATCTGGTTTATTACGATATCTAGGGGCCATATCATACTCCCACATATGCTAGTCACAAGTTCTTTCTTACCTTGGTTGATGACTACATCGGTTTACTTGGATATATTTGATGAAACATAAATCAGATGTAAAGTGTATTGTTCCTAAATTCTTTGCTCTTATTGAAAATCAATTCCACAAGGTGATCAAAACCTTTAGGTCAGATAATGCTCAAGAACTAAGGTTCACAGTACTTTTTGATGCCAAGTGTGTTATCCATCAATTTTCTCTTGTTGAAAGACCTGAATAAAATTCTATAGTTGAAAGAAAACATCAACATCTCCTTAATGTAGCATGAGTATTATACTTTCAGTTAAGAGTACCCATTCAATTTTGGGGTGGTTGTATCCCTACAACAACCTCTTTGAGTAATAGAACTCCAGCCTCAATCCCGAAGAACATTCAAAGTTCTTTTTTTTTTTTTTTTTTTTTTTAATATCTCCAGGGATGTGGTATTTTATGAAAAATACTTCTCCTTTCACTCTATAGACTCTGCACATGATTTGTTGGATTGCTTTCCTGATACTGTTTTACCAAGTATCACATCTTAT